CCCACACTGGAATGAATTCCTTTACAGTTCACGGGGCGGGTATAGGAAGATATAAAAGATTGCTGTTTCCGTTCTTTTCTAAAAATTCTTTAGACTCAACCGGTTCGTCCCTGTAAATTTGCCACTGCATGACGCAATAGAAATAATTGCTAGCAAACTCAGTTCACAATATTGTGTGTCTAGACCAAAACAATATTATGAGGGGCGTTCCACCATGACCTCCTGTACTCTCTAAGTACTCTCAATTGAATATTATCTTCATTTAAATTGTGACGTTGTCTTGTATTTTTTTGTATCTCTATGTGATTGACATACAATGAGATATCGCTTTGCATGATTTTAATGAAATATTCTGACGGTATTGTAATCTGTCTGACTTCCTGACTTCCTCAGCCCAAGTGTGAAATGTTTGTTTACCCACAACGCGGTTCGAGACAAAAGAACCCTAGTCGTGTCAAGACCAGGAATAGAGAGAGTGTGGTATACTGTAACCGTATTGTGAGCGGCGTTGTTGGTTGACACCGACAAGTAATTAAATACATCCGAAACATGGCCAATGTGAAACTCCGAGATGAATCTGTGAACACAGATAATCAGCCATGTGACAGGACATTCACAACTCATGGTCTTACTTGAAAAACATCCCACAGCTATCTCATCTGAGATACACTTTTCCACCAGATGCATCTTGATTAGACTAATCATTACTCGTATTTTGTCTAGTTATCCATAATTGAAGTCTCAAGTTCATCACCTGAAACTCAATAATAACAATTGAAGGCTTATAAATAAATCACGCTCTGCTTCACTAGATACACACTGTGCAATGCCTTCTCTCGCTTTCACAATTCCTATGCGAAAAGTTTACATAAATTATCTGCTATCATTAAATAATTCACCAGTACCAGAATTCAATCAATTGAAGTTCACCCCAAGCTACCAATTTGTAATTGTCTCGAATGAGTGATTTTAAAAGTAGCAAAATACTTCCATATAACAGTGAATATTGATAAAAATTCAGCCCTAATGTAGAGTTTAACAAAAATACTTTTTTCCTAATAAATGAGAGAATATTTTTATGATGTATAATTGAATTCCCATCGACTTTACGAGAATTTGAATGCATACATTTACCAGAAAAATATAATTGTTAGTTTGGTAATTTTTTTTTTGGGTGGTAAAAGAAATAAAATAAAAAAATCTAAGCTCATCAGTATGCGTATAGATGGAAATGACATGGATGAACTTTTGCTTTGGTTGCTCTTATCGAAATGAATGTGAACTGGCGCATCGGCTTTGTGTCTGATAGTTGAGTGGAAGCAACTTTAGAGTTCTGTTTTGAGTCAATATTGATTAATTAAATACAATACAATAAAGCATTCCAAACATAACGATTCCATGCGCAGTAACTACATCTACAACTACCCCCCCCCCAGAAATGAAGTAATGTTAACAATGACAATTCAAGGAATATTGTGTAAAATCAGCAATATATTCCGATATTGGCGTATTTTAATAGTAAATCGTTAAGTCAAAAGTTTAGTCTGCTTACAAGAACCATTAGAATTACTATGATTGTTTTCGTCGTATGGAAAAAAACTATTACACTGAACTTCCATAATATATATTCGATATATATACATAGAGGAATGTGGATGCAGAAACACCGCTCTTCATACGCGGAAATAACCTTGAAAAAATAGTCCTCTGTGATCGTGTGTTATTTTTAAAATCACGTGACTGATATAATATAAACAGTTCGCAGCATTGTCCGACGTGAGATAACCGACATAAGGGAAACGTGTGTTTATGTAGCAATGTATGTCTGAAATCCGTGGATATAATTAGTAGGGAAAAAGCTTGAGACATCACTTGTATTTTTACAATCAGAAATTAACACAATAATATTCATACTATATGACGTAGTGTCAGGTCAACAACCAGGTCATCGCTAGTATCTCACCAATTAAGGCATTGTTCATAATTCAAAAACTGTATGTACACAATCACAGAGGAAGAAATATATGTTTAACAGTTTTTATTTTCGAATTCGTTGCAGTTAATATTTCTAACGCAGAATTGTTTTCAATAAATACAAGCTTGGAAAGACACGATAACTTAACCCGTATTGATGAAATCTGAGATCTAATCAGTACCAGTAACGTGCGTTATCGATTATTGTCCAACCATTAATTACAAACTCATA